TTAAAAAAAAAAATCTCCTCTTTTCATTTTCTTTCCTATTATACATATATTTTTATGTTAAATCTTTTCACTCCAATTTTCCTAGTGGGTGATTTTAATATTAATAAACATTATATCTTTCATTACCCTAGTTGATGAAAACTAGAAATGTCCATATCAAAAGTTATTCATAAAATCTATATGGGATAATGCTATTGAAAAGGTCTTTACATTTGGGTTTTCTTTTATAGGAAATTTTTTCCTTTTTGTTTATCATATACCTCAATTTTTTCCTTTTTGTTTATCATATATCTCAATTCCTTTTTGTTTATCATATACCCTAGTTTATCATATGTCCTAATAAACCTGCACTCCGTTGGAACCGCAACAAACCTATTTGGTACCATTTCGATAAGGAACCAATAGCAAATTAATATTACTTTTAGGGATATTATATAGACTATGAATTGAAATTTTTGAGGTTTTGAAAATTTTCAAAAATTACAAATTGAACTATATTTTGTAAATAACAAAGTTGGCGCAACAACCACAAGGGATAAGGCTGATGTAAAATTATAAGTGAATTATTTTAGCTCTTTTATATGTTTAGTACACTTATTATTATTATTATTTTTTTATTATTATTATTATTATTATTATTATTATTATTATTATTATTATTATTATTATTATTATTATTATTATTATTATTATTATTCGGAAATATGACTATTAAAAATAGAGCCATAATATATCATTCTTAAATAAGCCATAAACAAATAAAAAAATGTAATTTAGAAATGCCCAAAAAAAATCAGTCATTTTTAACGTTGAAAGCTATTAGCAATAAAAAATAAACATTATAAATATGCAAAATAAAAAGGGATTTGTAAATGATAGAGTAATTTTTTCAATTGATTTTTAGGTTGGGTCCATATATGAACATACATTACCTCTAATATATACACATAGTACATATTCGGTATCCGTGCAATTAAATGGAACTAATGGTATGATTGTTTTCTTGTCACACATTCAGTCTCATTTCGTTCACTATTTTAGATAAAATAATTCGCGTCATAAGTAACACCATTAAATATATTGGATTTAGTTTGAAAAATACTACTATATTGAATATTAATAATGTAAATCTTTCACTTTCGTTTTATATATACACACACGCACACACATATATATGTGAAAGAGTACTTAGTTGAAGTCTATATATAGGGACATTGAAAGAACATGAACCTCATCAATTTAGGTAGTTTTAACATATTATTAGTTATGACCACCTTTTTCCCTATTCATGTTCTCATCCTCCTTTTTTCAGGTAATTTGTTCTTGTAATAAAATCTTTTTTTTTTTTTTGGGCTTTTTTTTTGATAAATCTTCACTCAATTTTTTCTAGTAGTAAAAGTTTGGGATTATGCACTATACTTGGACTAGGCGGGCGCCCCGAGTTTCATCTAGGCAGCCCTTTAAGGCACTCGGACATTTAACCACTGTTTGGGCTTATTAGGCGACGCCTAGACAATTTACGTTTTTACAAAGTTAGCCAAGCCTATATTGATTTAATTCGTTACTCCAGTCGCTGCCTAAGCGGCTGTATAGCTGTTTTATATATATATATATATATATATATATATTCTATTTATTTATTCAAAATATAACAATTTTTTATACATAAAATGTACAATAATTCTAAAATAAAAATAATAAATATGTAAATTAATATTCTAATTATACGTAGAAACTCGAATCAAATCATGAACTCTCTTTAATTACTCACCCTACCTCCATAAAATTCCATTCAGTTTCACTGATCGCCGGCACGCATAGCTTCCGGATAGGAATTAACTACGGGCGTGTGGCAGACGACCTCCCGACCCCATCACGTGTGGCTTCCTTCATCGTCTCCCTCAACATAAGCCGTGTCAGAATCTACGATGCCGACCCGGAAGTCCTCTTAGCATTCGCCAACACCGGCGTCGAACTAACAATCGGGCTCGAAAACAAGTACATTGAGAACTTAACCGACCCGGCCCAAGCCCAGGATTGGGTCAAACAGAATGTGGCCCCCTACACCAACCAAACCAATATCACGATGATAACAATCGGCAACGAGGTTCTCACTGGTAATGACATTAGTATGATGATATCCCTCCTGCCTGCCATGCAAAATGTCCAAAAAGCCCTCGCGGACCTTGGCCTGAGCCAACAAATCTACGTGAGCACGGCACACTCGTACGGGATCATGGCTGTTTCATTTCCCCCCTCTTTGGGCACGTTCAAGCTCGATCTCGTGGACTATCTCGTGGGCATATTGGTCTTCCTCTCCCAAACGGAGTCCCCTTTTTTGATCAACACGAACCCCTACTTTGCATACAGGGATGACCCGGAGCACGTGTCGTTAAAGTACGTGCTTTTCGAGCCAAACCCAGGACAGACAGATCCCATCACCAACTTGCATTATGACAACATGTTGTACGCACAGACGGACGCTGTTTACTCGGCCATCGATGCTTTGTACGCACACATGGACTCGGCCATCAATTCTACTCTGGGCTACAAGTTCATTGTGAGACATACCGAGACCGGATTCCCGACGGGCGGAGGCATAATACGTGGACAACCTCCAATTGGGGCCAACATAAAGAATGCGAGGTTGTACAATGGGAATCTGCTGAAACGGGTGGAGGAGAAGCAGGGGACTCCCCTGAGGCCTTCAATACCAATCGACGCTTACATCTTTGCGCTCTTTGACGAGGACCTGAAGCCCGGCCCGGAGACCGAGAGGCATTACGGTCTCTTCTATCCCAATATGACACCTGTCTATGATATCGGGTTGCAGGGTGGTGGTGGTGGTGCTATTCCGCGCGTGGATTACACGATTTCGGGGATTAGTAATAGTGTTGTCAGTGGGTTTTACATGGCTTTTATCTGTTTTCTGCTCCACTTGCTTATTTAATGTTCCCACACTGAAATACAATCTGACTGGAGAACAAGAAGAAGAATAATGTTGAATGTTTAAGCTGGTTGTGAAAGAAGAACAATAATGTTTAAATTTGATGGAGAATAAAAACTCACTTTATCATATATATATTTTAAAGCTGCGAATTATTTAATTAAGCCTCTAAATTGATAGTGTGCTTAGATTAGATGGGACCCAGTTTACCTTATCTAACTACTATTATAATAATAATAACTCACTTTATGATATAATTAAGCCTCTAAACACAAAGCTCTTTGCTTGTGATTTTATATCATGGTTGTTTTTTAATTTAATAAACATCTTCTTTAGTTGAGTTTAGAAACGAAAAACGGTTCTTTCATGCCCCAACTCTACACTAATTTTGCATGTGAATTTCGCTCTTCTTTTTCCAATCGTGTTTCAAAGGTTCACCCTTTATTTGTTTTCTTTACAAAACCAAATATAGAATACAACGGGAGACCACAAACCATAGTGGCCTAAAACAAACAAACTGACAAAGAAGCTTATATAAATAAACTCAAGGCAAATCACAGCTTTGAAACATATCGTATAAAAAGACAACGGAACGTAGCTTGAGTGGTAAGGCGCGTCAATGTCAACTTGCGAGCTTTATAAACTTGATGATTTGGAAGGTATCCTAGAATTGAATGGTTATTTGTTAACGTTGAAACCCGCATGTGAATTCATGAAATTGTTTTATCCCTTGTTATTCTCGATTGATTGACTTAAGATATGTTACCTTATGTTCGATTATCGATGGAAACGCGTTATGTTATTCCTTTGTGGTGCATCTTGATCGATATGTTTTTATGTGATTATATTTTGAATGTATCATTGTGTGCCCTCACTAAGAAAAAATAATAAAATAAAAATTGGAGAAATAATGTGAGTTCGCGAGGAAGTACGGATTAGGCGCCTCTTATTCTGAGCCACTTTGTGGAATAGGATAATGAGCCCGGGAAACCGGTCTAGGAAACTCGAGGAAACCCCTCGAGGTTAAACCTAGATAATCATCGTCCGGAAACCTCGTTTGAAAAAAAAAAAAAAAACACAAAAATGAGTTAGTGAGAGTTGGAAGGATTAGACTCCGCTTGGCTCGGTAAGTCTTCTAGATAAACTGGGCCAATGTGTATGGGAAACCGGTTTATGAGACTCAGGGACGAACCCCAAGGATAAACCTAAGTAATAATCGTTCTAACGGCCCTCATTTTGAAAAAGCAGTTCATTTAAAAAATATGAAAAAGGGAGTCGACTTTATTAGGCTCTAGTATTCCCATACTGTAGAGGAATGATAGGAGTTAATCTATTACAGTTGCAAAAAATGTATAAAAATACACTTTTATTTGTAGAATTAACAATTCCGCTGGGGCGTGGCCGAGTGGTAAGGCGTCAGGGACGAACCCCGAGGATAAACCTAAGTAATAATCCTTCTAACGGCTCTCATTTGGAAAAAGTAGTTTATTTCAAAAAAATGGAAAAGGGAGTCGGCTTTATGGATTTCGTCCTATTTTTCTTATATGTTAGGTAGACCTCTTATAGCATTTTGCACGTGTATATAGTGAAAGGGAGCGTGGATCGAGTAAATCATGTGTATCATGATTTGGGATGGGTTTTTGTTTTCTATGAATTCATTTTGTGGGGAACATGTTTTCGAATTTGAGTTTGATTCTATGGATTACCGGATGGAAAGGAGAGTCTCATTTTCGCATGATTATTAACTTTAAACCACTCGGTGTTTCTTCTCGAACTACTTATTATTTTGTTTGCTTGAGGACAAGCAAAAGGCTAAATGTGGGGGAGTTGTTTGTTGTGTTTTTGTGTAAATTTTTTTGTGATTTTGTTTAGTAGAGATTTGATGGGCAAAGGATAACCGAGTTACCCGACTCGGGTCGATCTCGAGGGAAGGCTATTCGGAGCTTTGTCTACTAAATAATTGTCCAAATCACAAAAAGGGAAAATAAAGTCCTAAACATTTTAAGCAACTGATTGGAGGGTTGATTAACACTAATCGAGCACTTAAAAACGAGCAATTAACTAAAAGCAAGGTCCAATCACGAGCAATTACCAAACTAGATCACCGGAGTCTCATGCCATACCCATAACAGAATGATAATCAATCAACATACGGAATAAACAAGCTACGAGCATTAGATTACTAACCCTAGTCGTCTAACCGAGATCAACAAGCAATTAACGACTCTATCTACTCAAGCAAGCAATCAAGTACAAGCATTTCCTCCATCATCAATCAAATCCAAATTTACCC